TATGTTTAGGTTATGTCACGTTTCTATGTCTAGGTTTGGGTTTTTTGTTGTTCTCACTGTCATGTTTTCCTGACGTTTATTCTCTGGTCCTTTTCCCTGTGTTTTTCCTCCTGTTGTTAGTTTCCCTGGTGTGTCTAATTGTCTGATTATGTTCACCTGTGGCCCCTGTGTTTTCTCCTCCCTCCTCACCTGTGGGCGACTGTGGCTGTGAGGGAGTGTGGTCGTCTTTCAACCAGAAGGTTGTGGGTTCGATCCCAGCCCATGCAGTCAACATGTCGATGTATACTTGGGCAAGATACTTAACCCTGAGTTGCTCCCGATGGCATGGCCAACGGTGTGTGAATGTGTGTGAATGTTAGGTCCTAGAGTAAGGTACACTGCTCTGTATGAATGGGTGTGAATGGGTGAATGACATGTAGTATGTAAAGCGCTTTGAGGGGTCTTAAAGACTGGATAAAGCGCTATATAAGTACAGTCCATTTACCATTTTACCTGTGTCTTGTTGTGTGATTAGTCTTGTGTGTATTTAAGTTCTGGGTTTTCTGTCTGTCTTTGTCGGTTCGTCTTGTGTCATGACTAGTTCTTCGGTGAGTGTTCTGTTTTGTCTTTGTTTGCATCATATAGCCTTGAAATAGAGGAGTTTGTTCAGTTTATATCTGCATTTGGGTCCTGCTTCCTACACACACCGTGACAGAACGAATCGACCAAAAATGGACCCAGCAGATGATCCGATCCGTTTGAGGTAGAATTGCAGCATTTTACCTTTTATCATGGCTTTCTGCGTTGATTGGTGGAAGGGAGCGTCCAGTGTTCGGCAGAAGGAGGCCGCTCTGGTAGAGGCGCACCGGTTGGCTATGGAGAAGCCAGACTTGGTGAAATTCTTACCTGGCTGGATTTTGAACTTTCTCTCAGTGTGTGATTTCCAGCCTGCTGACTACAAACGTCTCGGTGTGTTCCGTCGGGCGGAGTCAACCCCCTGCTTCTTCCCAGTTTCCTGCTCGGGCTGTCCGCAGGAGTCGTATTATGGAACTGCGTCTGGCTTATGGAGGTCCACGGAGTATTCAGGCGGCTGGCTAAGAGAGTCGTCGCAAGAAGCCAGGGCTGGCAGCCCGAGCCCCAGCAGCGCATGGTCTCCGTGGCCCTCCAGTAGCCATCCCAGCCCAGGCAGCCATGGATAGCCGTGTTCCGGTTGCCTTGCCCAGGCAGGGCCATGGTTCCAGGCTCTAGTGGCCGGCTCCAAGCAGGGGCCCATGGTCGCGCTGCTCCAGAACGGGCGGACGCTTAGAAGCCTTGTTTCCCGGCTCAAGACCGGAACGCATAGCCAGCCCATGTTCCGGCTCCCCAGAAGCCGGAACCCCCTTACAGCCTGGTTGCGCGGCGCTGCAGTCCTGGGCCAGTCCAGGCAGCCCATGGTTTGCGACCCCCTCCGGCAGCCCCTCGTCTCCCGGGGGGGCGCGACGCCCTAGGGCTCCCCCGTGTCGCTGTCGGCCGTACCCGGCCCGACCTCTAGGCACCTCGTCTCCTTGCTGGCTCTCGAGGCCGACCGGCCAGTCCCGCGGTCGCTGGTCCAGCCATACGCGGGGGCCGACTCGGCAGCCGGCCCCGTGTTCTGTTGGCGAACCAAAACCCCTCTCTCCCCGGTCTCCCCCTCTCCCAAATGTTCCTAGCCCCGCAGGCCCCTGCTCTCAAGTCCAGCCCCCCTCCAAGTCTCCTCTCGGAGTTCCGCTCTGCCCAAAGTAATCCTCCTCCGAGTTGCGCCTCCTCCAGTCAACTCCGTCTCAATGTCCGCTGCTCAAGTCCGCCCTCTCCCAAGTTCTCCTCCTCCCAAGTTCCTACCCGAGTCGCCCTCTCAGTCCTCACTCTCCGAGTCCCCCCATTCGAGTTCCCTCTCGAGTCTCGCTCTCCGAGTCCCGCATCCTCCGAGGTCCTGCCGCTCTCCCCGAGTTCCCTGCTCAAAGTACGGCCACACCTCCGAGTTCGGCCTCTCAAAGTACCCTCTCGAGTTCCCTTCTCGATTTCAATCGCTGCTCGGTTCCCTCCCCTCCAAGTCTTCTCCCTCCGAGTCGCCAGCTCTCAAGTCATCTTGCCAAGTCCCAATGCCTCTCCAAGTCAGCCGCTCCCGAGTTCCTCTCCAATGTCAGCCGCTGCCCGAGTTCCCTCCACCCTCCCCAAGTCTCGCTCCTCCGAGTCCCTTTCTTCAAGTCCCGCTATTGATAGTCTGCCNCTAGCAGCCCGAGCCCCAAGAGCCATGGTTCCAGCCCCAGTTCCGGCCCCAGCAGCCATGGTTCCGGCCCCAGTACCGGCCCCAGCAGCCATGGTTCCAGGTTCAGTACCGGCCCCAGTAGCCATGGTCCCGACTCCAGTTTCGGCTCCAGTACTGGCTCTCCGGCCGACGCCAGCTCCCTCGTGTCCTGTCGGCGTACCGGCCGACTCCAGCACCTCGTCTCCTGTCAACGTACCGGCCGACACCAGAACCTCGTCTCCTGTTGGCTCTCCAGCCGACACCAGCAGCCCGAGTCCTGTTGGCGTACCGGCCGACTCCAGCACCTCGTCTCCTGTCAACGTACCGGCCGACTCCAGAACCTCGTCTCCTGTTGGCTCTCCAGCCGACACCAGCTCCCCGTGTCCTGTCGGCGGACCGACCGTCAACTCTCCAGTTGCCTCTCAAGTCCCCTCTCGAGTCCCCTTTCAAGACACTTCTCGAGTTCCCTCTCAAGTC